TTCTTGACGGATCCTGCTCATCTTCGAACTCGACCGAGACATTGTTAAGACTGAACTGTGTAGAAAATTTCATCGCGATTGGACTCTCCTTTCAAAAGTTATCGTGTTAACGGCCGGCCGGACGGACACACTGACCGATTCTAGAGTGTACTCACTTTTTGAGTACACAAAAAAAACGATTCAGAATATAGAATGAACATAGCAGAGAGTTTTTGGAGAAGGGATGAGCTTTTTTCAGCCTTGCTTGGTCGATATCTCCTTCATACGTCACAGTACAGGGTTGAAAATTTTACCATAGCCTTTCCAGTACAGCCCCAATATATTCTGAAAATTTCATGCGAGTTCAATTTACCTGGCCTGAGATTGATTTTTGAGGAGAGGGGACCTTAACAAAGAGATTTTGGTCTAAATCTCATCAAAATTGATTGATAATGCTTTTGCTTATTGCTCACAGCAACCACATTTTTTCGCATTTTTATGTAAGGTCCTCCTGAGTCTGACGTGACAAATTCAGTTTCAGTTCAGCCGTAATAGTTATTCTGAGTTCGTAACTCTTTCTTGCTGTTTGTTTCGTATAAAAACTAACATCACCGTATATCAAAAGCTATCGCGTAAAATCCCACTGAAAATGTTCCCTTCTCTTTGAACACACGGTTCGGCTTTTTTTATCAGCATATGATTGAAGAATGTAACATATGCATTTGCACAAGCGTTTGTCATATTGTATATGAAGGTATAGAACTTGAAAACTTTTGATTGTAAATCAGTCGATATAGACAATGGAAATCAAACTGACCAAAGTAACGGGTGGGCCATAAATAACTGCACTGTTAGAATTTTCAAAAATTCTCTTCTATTATTCCTTTGATTAAAACATTGTTTTCTAGCACAAGATAGCGCTTGAAATTCTCTCCAAAAACCACATATGACTAGACCCTGAAACTATTTTAGATATATTTGAAAAAAGATGAAAAATAATGACATACAAAATGCTGTAAAAAGTAACGGATTGTGCTTTGTGTTCAATGTTTTCATCACTTCGCCATATTAAAAAAAATATACCAAAAGATGCAGCGTGAAAGTTCTACATTTTAGATAAGATCGCTTATTTTATAGTTGTCCTTTTTGTTCTCGAAATGGACAAAGTTTTGATCGATCAAATTTCGACCGTGGGAAATAATATTTTTTTGGTACAAGATGAATTGGTTTTTTCTAATTTCATCTTTTTATTACCTGATATGCTTTATTAGAAAACAAAAAGAAGTACACAACAAGATGCAGCGTGAAAAGCTCTACAATTTACAAAGAACAAATTATAAAAAGAGGAAATAAGAAAAAATGAATTCATCTTGTACCCAAAAAATATAGCATTCTTGCATGGTCGAAATTTGATCGCTCAAAATTTTGTCCATTTCGAAAAAAAAAAGCGCAGCTATAAAATAGGCGATCTTATGTAAATTTCAGAACTTTTCACGCTGCATCTTTTGGTATATTTTGTTTTTTAATACGACGAAATAAGTGATGAAAAAGTGGTATGCAAAGCGCGGTCATTCATTATGCACAACCTGTTACTTTTTACAGATTTTTATATGTCTTTATTTTTCATTTTTTTTTCAAATATATCTAAAATAGTTTTATGATCTAGTAATATATGGTTTTGTAGAGAATTTCAAGCGCTATCTTTTGATTAAAAAGAATGTTTTAATCAAACGGATAATAGAGAGGAAATTCTGAAAAACTAACAGTGCAGTTATTTATGACCCACCCTTTAGTTTGGATTAGTGCCCTACACAACTGAAGGAAATAGAACAGATGTTCAACCCCTCAAATCTGAACTGTGCTTCCTACTACATAAATTTCGTGAAAGATGATTCACATTGAAGTATTCCAATTACATTTGCATACATGCAAATAAGCTGCACTACTGCTATTATTAGCATCTTTAAATATAGCACACTTCTTTGAAACTCAAAAGATTTGAATTCTTCCATCATTCAAAACAAAAAGATCTTAGGGTAATCTAGCAAAACTAGGACTTTCGTGCCATTATAGTTGAATTAGACCAATACTTCGATCTCTTCATGACTTACTTCGACGATTTTAGTTATTGTTCAGAAACTTTCACTTTTATCTAGAGCTATAACTATTTCTAGATCCTATAATTACAGCCTGAGTGTAAATTTGTCATTAAGGTTAAAATTGCAACGCGTTTTTCGAAAAATCAATATTCTGTTGAAACTACTGTTTATTTGAAGCATCTGGGGCAGTACAAAACAATTCTACATTTCCTACTGACGACCCTAAAATCAGGGATCAGAAGTGATTGGCGTGGAAAAATGTACAGACTGATAGAGACCGATATTTTACTGATTTACTACTTTGATAATGTGTCTTCAGCCCATTCTTTTTCACAGAAAAATGAAAACTCTTCATCTTTTCAATCATTTTAAAAACGTATGAACCTCAAGCGATGAGTCTGTAGCCGTCGTTTAAGAGAACGCTGATGACGTCAAACATTTAACCGGCAAGACAATAGTTGTCCGCGCTAAGGAATAAATTGCGAGTGAGGCGTCATGGTGCCTCATTTTACTAGTGTCTCATCCGACATCTGACTAGTAGATGAATACTATTCGAGCTACCGCTTAAGGTGTGGGTGTGAGGTAGGTGTGTGGGTGTGGGTGTGAATGTGTGGATGTGTGGGTATTGGTGTGGGTGAAGAGAAGACTCCAACATTCACACTTCACAACCATATCGATCCACATTCACCTTCAAGTATATAACTCTGCATAGTAACAACAAGTAAATATTAATTGTCTATTTTTGCTCTGCTGCATCTCTAGTGGTTATTGCTTGTCTTGGAAAATTATAAGAAAATAAATCGAAAATTAAGATCTCAAGTGATGTCTTATATAGCTGACGATGATGGTAAAATTTTAAAAAGGATCGAAAATTCCTATTGTTAATATATTATATTAAACTACGAAATTTCTTTTTTCTATATTGTTATTGTTTTTATTATTGTTCAAGTTTGTTTTTATTACATCCAATTGTTGTTACGATGCAGAATTATATACAATTGCATATATTAGATACATATTAAGATATTTATTAATAATCTGTTTTCCGCTGATCTTCATTGATGTATGTTAAGTAGATTTATGCTTATTTATTAGTTTATGTTGCATATTTTTTATTCTGTTTCATCTCTAGCAGTTATTGTTTGCCTTTGAAATACATTGAAAGTTTATGTCTCAAGTAAAGTCTTATATAGCTGGTTATGACCGTACAATATCAAGTAAGTTCAAAAAATTCTATTGTTAAAAGATTATATTGAACTGCAAAATTTTTCTTTACTATACAGTAAAACCTCTGTTAGTCAAATCTCTCTAAAGTGAATACCTCCTGATTATAAACGTTTTTTGAAAAGTCCGAAAAATCGTTTTTGCTGGAAATGCACTTCGCTAAAGTGAGCACCTCCAAACCGTGAACGCTTTTTTTCGGTCCCGCTGGTATCCACAATAGAAAGATTTTACTGTATTATTAGTCAGTTAAGATGTTTTTTCGATTGTTATTATTAGCATTCAATGACAAAGAACGTTTCACTAGGCTGCTCAAAGTTCGTTCATTAAACCAAATGAATTGATCGGATGTCATTTTTTGCTTGATAATGTTCAGTTCTTCCGGTGTATTTCCACGTTCAGCATAATTCGGATTATCCCTTTTACAACAACACTCGCTGAACCATAAGCAGTCACTACATCGAAAGCATCTGTCTGTATAATATACTGTATACAATTTTTTGATTTCTGCTTTTGTATTAATCGTAACATAGGTGGCTGCCACTGGTAATTTCGGATTAGTTGGTAAGTCTATCCTTTTTGCAACAATCAATAATGTTGTCAACAAGGCGCCTGCTTGACTGTTAAACGTAAATGCTTGAGCTATGTACGACCCTTCGGTTGCAGCTGCTATTAATATTTTAATATTTTGAACTGCTAGATCACGAAATTCTTCTGGAATGAGCTAGCTTGCCATTACCGTAGCAAGTGTAGAAATTCCAACTTGAGCTTGGCCAACTGAGCCGTCTATTGTTGTTGGACCCATGTAGTCAGCCCAATTAGCTGAAAGAAAAAATAAAGGCTTGGAATATCTGATCATTGTAGAATACAGTCTTACCAGGTGCTGATACGTTTAATACTTGCGCCACTTGTCGCATTGGAGTAGATGCACTAGCAGATTTTGCATTAAGTCGAACGATCGGCGACACATAGAATGCAATACATACCGTCACCAAATGCAACATCAAGAAGACAAGAGAAGTTTTTCCCATATTTGATCTAAAAAATACGGAGTATCCATGAAAAATCGATTTCGTATGAGATACATCTGTGTTCTGCAAAGAAAAACATACCTCTAACGAGAAAAAATTACCAATTGAAGCAGGTCGATTAAATTCGTTTTAAGAGGATGAGCAACACTCAATAGGTTATGAAGAAGCCTTCGTCTTTCGATCTATAATACTTCATAAAGTTGTCAACCTGTCAAAAGGTAATTTGAGAACAATCATAGAAAAAAATTATCCAGGTGAAATGTTGTAAATAAATAGGAATGCAAGTTTTAAGAACATTTTAAATTTTTCAGTGAAAACGAACCTTTTTGTTAAAATAATGAATTTTAAAAGAAATGTTGATTCGACTGCTAAACGAAAGTATGCTTTGCACATTTCGTATCTTCGGAAGAAAAACTCTGCTTTACTTGGTTTTTTAATGGTATTTCGAGAAGCAGAGAATCTAGTAATAAGCAATTTATCAAGTTAAAATTCCTTGGAATATTTTTCGTGAGAAACTTTGGAACAGTTGAAAATTCAATAAAGCGGCAATAATATGAGCTCAAAGCTTCAATGCAACCTACTAGTCGTAATATGGTTTCAATCTGCAGGCTTCAGCTAGAGATATTTTTTCATAAGTAATAGCAGGGTTATCTTGAAATCGGACGAGATCGGTACCATAATAGTCATGTGTTATTTTGCTACTAAGTCACGGTCCACTTTAGCTAGCTTTGCTTTCAGCAGCAAATAAATGTTAGTTAGGAAAATTCACGAACGAGAATAAGCAGAAAATAAAATTCAGCAAAGATGAGACCCATCATGATCATAAAACTAACCTTTGTATCATATAATGGCACAAGTGGTCAATCGCTTTTGGACTGAAATTATTGTATCCATGAAACTTAGTGAGTACATAGATAGTCCAGAGTGGTCTGATTCTTTTACTTTTTATCGCTAAGGTATCGAATTTTTAGATGGTTTGCCAAAAAATTTCGATATTCCTCAATGACAACGCATTTTCAAATTTTGTACTGAAATTTGTATCACAGGTAGCCAAATTTTCACTCAAACTTTCTCGTAATGTTCAGTGGAATGAGTAAATCTTTCTGCAATCTTAAGAGATATACTAACGGTATTTGACTCATCGCATCGCTTTTATTTAGTAAATATCGAAATCTGTTGAAAAATTAAACTAAAGATTGGCTAACTCTTCAAAAAGAACCTTGATAAATCGAATTAACCTGCTTTTATAACTTCAACCATTTTCAAGTCTAATTTTTTCGACTGAATTCAAAATCAATAATTATTATTCTAATAGTTTCTGGTACCTACTTCAAAATGGTGGTACTATTCATATCAAAATGTAATAGTGTGAGTCCGATACGAATATTCGAGAACACGAGTTAGCTATAGAGAAACCCTTTTTTAATGTGTAGTCAAGCGTGTGAAGCATTCTCCTGTATCAGAAACATCCAATTCGTTAGAGAGATCTCTAGACACCGCAAAATTTGCAGCATTTTTATTCTCTGTTTAGGTGAAGTCTTTGAAAAGTGTCTTTTATCTCGCACATGTCGAATCAATATGAGAACATGGAGTTTTGATCACATTTAACCTGTTGACAATGCCTGTGCGTACTTTTTTCAATGGAACGACGGTTAATAGATAAAGATTTTAATAGTCTGTGTGTTATGGAATAAAATACGCATAGATTAGTCAGTTCTTAATTGATTGAATGGAAATTTTACACAATTGTAGTCTAGAAAAAGTTGTTTTCATTCAAATTCCGATCGATCTCTCGTAGAATCCTCAAAAATGTTAAAGCGGATCTACTTGAAGAAGTTGACTGAAACCATCGAAAATTTATTTTTCTTAAAGGGTCATTAGTGTGCTCCAATTCGAATATACATTGACAAAAGAAATATTTCGAGATAGTTGCATGCTTTGTCAAACTATTTGATAAGAATCGTACATGTTATATTTTGAAATCGCTATTAATAGCTTTCAAGATTGTAGATATTATTTCAGTCGCTTGTGTATCACAAAAATTCCCTATCTCAATTGATTTTTATGCCGCTAAGTTAATAATCGAATACGGCGGGATGTACAAATGTCAAAATGACTGGGATGTACTACATCTCTTCTACCGCAAGCTGTATTCGACTTATGATTCCATCGCACATCAATAAATTGAAAACAAGTTTGTTGTTTCGTGCACTTACTCCAGATACCAGCTAAAAATCTTCGAAATTAGCATTATGGAAAAGATGGTGAGTCGCAATTTATTATAAAGCGTACCTCAATTATGATCATATACCAATGATAAAGAGAACAATGTCAAGTTGCAGACGTTTAGTGGTATGAATTCGGTATAATGTTGCTTGTATTGATAACGTAAATAGAGTTTTGATACTACTACACAGTAGCTGCTAAAGTATTTATACGGTCGTGTTCTTGCAATCTTTTTTCTGCGCAAGAAACAAAATGACTCATTTCCTTTTTTTAATAGAACATATGCATTTATCCACAATTGCACTTCACTTCCTCCGCGAGCCTCTTTCATTTGTTATTTTTGGTCAGACGCAATCTCCTCATAGGTTGGTGACGAACACTTCAATAATTTGACAATCAGTAAGCGTAATGCAAACAAGGATCGTTGCCACTTTTGCCCACTTTCTTGCTCTATCCGTCTTGAATCACTTCATTTTTCGTGCAATACAACAAACCAATGATTATTGTGATTCATGTCTTTACTTACTGTCCTTCCTCTGCTAACAACCCCATAATTTACTGTTATATTCATGTACGCTTAGTCTCTTTCTCTTTAACAGTTGGATTATTATGCTCTGTAATTAATCTTCTACTTTTTTGTAAGAACAGCGAAATAGCCTTTTTGACGTTTGAAAATAAAGTGATTGTGTAATTCATACAACTCTTCATTTCACGATACTGGTGTTGAAGAAACTCGTCTTTTGATTCTATATAGATCTACGATCATCTATTTGATCACCGTCTTCAAAGAAAATTATCTTACGATTCAATGCCAATACCCTACTATCAAACACAAAAACGAACTATGTTGATCATATTTTTTTAAAAATACATGGTGCGCTGTATAACGCAGATTAATCATGCATCATTAGTAAACATGATACATGCATCCACTTTCAGCGAAACGTCTTTTTTACACGCAACTATAAATAGTACAAAAGGAAGAAAAAGAACAGAAGTGCCTTTGAAACACACCTGGCAGAAACCATGAATCGATAACGCTTCCAGCTGGTGTTGGCATTTGGTTTTCATTGACGAATGTGCATGCAAGGATACAGATACAGTCACCTATAAGATATTGAATGCTTCTTTAACTGATAGTGGCCACAAGAGATTATGAAATTTTTTGACTTATTTACGGATGTGAATTCGGGAGACATGTATGGATATTTATGGTGATGTAGTATTGAATGCATCCACATCCACTTCCAGACCCAAACTACACCCACACTCTGTTAGATAGATGATAGCTAATGAGAGCGATGTAAAAAAAACGAACTGAAAATAAAAGATGTCACTCCCGAATAGTTTCTTTCTGATTGATTCTTTTTCTTCTTCAAGTTCAACAAGAAAACTGATGTTCTATTTTACCCTTGGAGAAACGACTTCAGCACAATTTCTACTGGGTTAAAATATGAAGAACGATGGAGCCAATCTAATTGTGCATGGATACTATGTATTGGTCATAGTCTTTAACACTACGATGGGAGCAAAATGTCAATGTGTCTACCATGGTCTATGACATCCAAACAGACAAAAATTTGGAAAACGCGTTTAAACACACAAAAGTGAACCGCGATTGTGAGCCATTTACTCTAGTTATTAAAACATCAGAAACGCTGGTTTTAGCTTGAATTCATCACTTTTAGAGCGTGAAAACGGTGAAAAACTCCTATTTTTAGCGTTTAAATGCATGTGTTTAAGCGTGTTCTGTCAAATTTTTGTGTACTTGGAACAAGACTCACAAGACCATATTACAAGATGAAAATTGAATGTTCTGGATGTGTGGATTTCAATTCTGTTTATAAGCCGAAAATGCATTGAAAATCCGAAAACACTAAGGTCTCAAAGCCTACAATCGTATGCCCAGATGTTTCTCACGGTTTATGGTGTAGGCATATAAATGATTCACCTTTTTCCTAAATGCTTCAACACTCATTTTCAAACATATTTAACAAAAGATTGCTGGAGACCTACAAAGGATCTATGACTTAATTCTGACGAGATCTATAATCGAAACGCGTTAAGATGCGCATCCTTTTTGCTTTGAATGCATTTGCTGTGATTGAAATTTAAAGTAGTATTGATGTTGGTGTTCCACTCTGCTGACAGTTAAAGTACGGAATATAACCATTTTGGCTGTAGCTATTCTGGAAATAGCCTTCACTGTTTTAAGTGTTGGAACACCTTACATTGGAATATACTCTTCTATCTGTAACGATGTATGAAGTGTGATCCTCACGTAAAATGTAAGATGACAATAACTACTAGGATGATCTATTGCTCTGCTTCCTTTGCAACAGACGAACTAAGATATATAAGAAACAAGTGGGGAAAATCCATAAGATGGAATATTTCCTAGGTGATGATAATGAGAAGGAAAATCACCTGTGAAATATCAAGAGAAAAGGAAACAATAGATAGAATGAAGGAAAGGAAAGAAGTGGAGAAAGAAAGGAAAGAAGAGGAGAACGAAAGGAAAAATCCATCAAACATATCGAATAGTAACATGAATGACAATAGAATAACAGAAGAGAGGAGATAACATACTACTACCTAACACTATGGATAGTAAGTTGCTAGAACAAGTAGAATATATTCATATTTCATACTTCAACCAAAAGAAGAAATTCCTTAGATGCTGTCTTGACTGTTAGTAGATAAAATGTGAAATTAAATATGGGAAAACTCCGACAGCAATTTTGAAAAGGAAAATTTTTGGAAACCATAATAGG